GCCCCAGCTCCCTGCAGGCTCTCCCAGCTCCTTCCCCCACTGCTCCTCGTGGCACTGCTGCCTCCAGCACGGCCTGCCTCATGGCTCCAGCCTCGCCAGACCTTTCTCCAGTCATTGTTCCTGCCTGGGAGCTCAGGGCTTTGCTGTGCTGTTTGTCCTGTTATAAATCAGGGGTTTGCCCAGCCCTTGCCCTCTCTGCCACTCGGTGGGCACAGGATGACCCATGGTGTGCTTGCCATTGCCAGCTCCAGGAGCTGAGGCCATCAGAGCTGCCCTGGCTGCGTGGGTCAGAAGGATGTGATGCAGCAGCAGATGTCACCATGGCAGGCAATTCCCTGTCCATTTTTATTCCCATCCATCATTGCATTGTTCTGTTTTCTCTTTGTATTAAAGGAAAAGTTTGTTCTTTTTGTCTGTAACTTGCAGTTCGAACTCGATATGGTGTTTGTTTTGCTCGCTGAGGATCTGATGTAACTTGGAGAGGTTGGAGCTGTGTATACTGGTGTGAGCATATTCTTCTTTTAAATATTTTTATGCATTCTTTCCTCTCAGTCTTACTTCAAGTCAAGCTGCACTTTGAACTGCATTTGGAACTGGGTTAAAAAGCACAGGAACCACATTTAAAATGTTAAGATGCTTTTATTTATGTGCTGGGCACAGACAAAAAGACTTGTAATGTGTTTTTTGTTTCAAACCGATGTATTAAACAAAGAAAGTATTGACAGCAGTTAATGAATCGAGGGATTGTTTCTGGGCGCTGAGATAGATTTACCAAAGGTATTTAGCTGTCTGATGCATGGGATTTTCAGAGCAGCCTAAGCAAGTGCTCGCCAGCACAGACACACGAGGTTCCTCTCTGAGAGCTGAGCAAAGCTGGAGCTGGGCCCAGCAGAAATCTTTTGGCGAGGTGCTGCTCTCTCCTGCTCCGAGGTGCGCTTCCAGCCGACAGGCTCGTGCGTGTCCCGGCCTCTCAGCGCTGCCTTCCCTCCAAAGAGCTGTTCCAGGGCTTTGGGAAGTGTGTGTTCCCAATCCCCAGAGCTCTGCCAGCTGCTCTCCAAGGGTGCAGCTCAGCCAGGGAAGCCTCTGCAGGACAGAGCACAGCTGTTGCCCTGGAGAGGACGGTGCTGGCACTA